TAGGTAGGATTTCTAAAATACTTCCACGGTTTATACTTTTGATTTGAAGATAGAGAGATTCCAAAAGGGTTATTAAAAGCTTTGAAGATTGGTTTTAAGTTAGGGTTTTGGGCTTTCAAACATGATTTCATTACTCACTTGCATCCACAAATCACAGCTTACCAGCCACAAATCGAAGCAAAACATGATAAGGGGATCGACAAGAACCTTCAGCTTTAGGGCTTAACCATCGTCTCTAATTGCAAGACGGTCGCCAAGGAGAGGAAGATGAGGATAAATAGCCTCTTGTTCGATCAAAAATAAAAGAAAAAGGAAAGCACAACTTGCAACTTACCCACCGCAAACTCGCTGAGAGACCTCCAGCCTTAAGAGCTCAAGTTTCATCTCTAGTCACCAGGAAGAGGGCAATTGTCGTTGAATCTCGAATGTAGAGGACTAGAGGTTAGGGCTCTTTGATGGGAATTTTCTAATGCAAATTGGAATCCCTGAGTTTTTCTCTTAATTGAAATCTTAATTGCTTAATAATTAGAGATGACCTGGCAACCAACTAAGATTAAAATGTTGTGACTTGGTATATTCTGATTGGTCAGAACACAAATGAGGTGGGGCACCTGGTGTACCTAAGAATTTCTCGAGATACTTGGGTTGAGGAATTTTAATTATCTATTCTCAAGGTTGAGATTTATTTAATAAACTAATTATTGGGACCGGATATGGAGAATAGTGATTAAAAAACGGAGAGCAAAAAGAGGACGTAATTATGATTATGTCTCCCAAACGATTCAAAATCAAAAGCTGACAATCATCACTGTTCACTTTGGGGCCATAATCTCCACAAATCATACACAATTTTAATTAATTAATTTTCATTCCAAAATGATAATAAATATGTTGGCAAAAAAAGATGATAAATAGTTAAAACAATTTTCACCATCTTACAATAGATATTTTGATTTAAAAAATAAAATATTTGGTTGACATATATGTTCTCAAAATAAAAATAAAAACAAATAAATCCAAATAACATATTAGGAAAAAAATTTTAGTTTAATTCTTTAATTTAATAAAGTAATTTTTCCATTTTTCTAATATTAATACCGTTAATCTAACATGATGATTTTTTTTACTGATCATTGTTTTTTTAATTATTCAATACAGTAGTATTTATAGATTTTTTTTTCAAATTCATGTAAAAATATTAGAATTAGATCCCCTAAAAGAAGCTTTATGAAGTTAAGGAAAAAGAATTTTGTACGAAATTAAATAACTAAAAGTGCAGTTTTATAAATATATTATTAATAATACTTTTTTGGGAAAATTGCAAATAAAGACTCCTCAATATATAAAATAGCAATTAGGGACCCTAAATTTGGAAAATAGCTTCAGAGGACCCGGTCCCAAATTGCAAATATGAAATGATGGTGGAATGTCCAAAATACCCTTCTATTTTTTCTCTTTCTTCTTCTCCAGATCTTCTTCCCTTTCGTTCTTCTTTTCCTCTCTCTCTTCGTTCTTCTCTTTCTTAGTAGGAAGAAATGTTCTCATCTTCCATATTGGATGCTCTCTATATATTATAGCTTAAGATGAAAGTGTATTATCTTTCGATTCACTCTTCCTTGAATCCATACCCAAAGAGGGGGATTCGAATATTGTCTTCTTTGTTATGTTCTTCCCCCTTACTCATTGATTAGTTTGTAAGTAAAAAATGAAGCTAAACACAGAGGGTTTCCCTTTAATATTCTTTGATTTGTTCTTTGAGTTTATGTTCTCTTTATTCATAAATGATTGGCAATGTGCGAGTTCAATGATAAGCTTTATTTTGTTGGGAAGCTTTTGGAGTGTGGTGAAACCAAACTTTTATATTCCTTCTATTTTTTTAAAGAAAATATATAAACAATTGAAATCAAGGGCAATGCAAAAAGGGTAACGTAATGGACTAGAAAGCATGAGCTGTGCATTTTTCATCTTGTATAAAAACCTTATGGGAACCTGTCATTGGCCTAACTGAACTTGTCAAGAATCCTATAGCAGAAGTGTTTGCTGTCAAAGAAATCTGCAAATTCTCATTTTAAGAGAAAAATTTAAAATTGTATGAAAATCTTATCAGAACTTGTTATTGGCCTAAGTGAACTTGTCATGAATCCTATATCAGAAGTGCTTGCTGTCAAGAAATTTGCAAATTCTCATTTCAACAGAACAATTTAAAATTGTATGAAAACCTTATCGGAACATGTCATTGGCCTTACTTAACTGTCATTAGCCTAACTGAACTTGTCATAAATCCTATATAAAAGTGCTTGCTGTCAAAGAAATCTGCAAATTTTCATTTCAACAGAACAATTTAAAATTGTATAAAAACCTTATTGGAACTTATCATTAGCCTTACTTAACTTGTCATTAGCCTAAATGAACTTGTCATCAATCCTATATCAGAAGTGCTTGCTGTCAAAAAAATCTGCAAATCCTCATTTCAACAAAACAATTTAAAATTGTATGAAAATCTTATCGGAACTTGTTATTGGCCTTGCTTAACTTATCATTGGCCTAATTAAACTTGTTATCAATCCTATATCATAAGTGCTTACTGTCAAAGAAATATGCAAATTCTCATTCAATAGAACAATTTAAAATTGTATAAAATCTTATTAGAACTTGTCATTGGCCTTACTTAACTTGTCATTGGCCTAATTGAACTTGTCATGAATCCTATATCAGAAGTGCTTGCTGTCAAGAAATCTGCAAATTCTCATTTCAATAGAACAATTTAAAATTGTATGAAAATCTTATCGGAACTTGTCATTGGTTTTACTAAACTTGTCATTTACTGCTTATCATAAGTGGCTGCTGTCAAAAATCAGCAAAGTTTAATTTCAACAGAGAAGTTTTAAATTGTATGAAAATCTTATTGGAACTTGTCATTGGCTTTACTGAGCTTTTCATTTACTACTTATCAGAAGTGGTTGCTGTCAGAAATCTCCAAATTTTAATTTCAACAGAGAAATTTGAAATTGTATGAAAACCTTATGGGAACTTGTTATTTACTCAACTTGTCATTTGCCATAGTGAATTTGTTGCTTCGTAAATCAATGTGAAAATTCAATCATTTTGACAGAGAAATTTGAAATTGTATGAAAACCTTATGGGAACTTGTCATTTGCCAAACTCAACTTGTCATTTGCCATAGTAAACTTGTCACTTTTGACAAGGTTTTTATACAATTTTAACTTGGCAAATAACAAGTTAAGTAAGGCTAATGACAAGTTCCGATAAGGTTTTCATACAATTTTAAATTGTTCTGTTGAAATGAGAATTTGCATATTTCTTTGACAACAAGCACTTCTGATATAGGATTCATGACAAGTTTAGTTAGGCCAATGACAAGTTAAGTAAGGCCAACGACAAGTTCCGATAAGATTTTCATATAATCTTAAATTGTTCTGTTGAAATGAGAATTTGCAGATTTCTTTGACAGCAAACACTTTTGATATAGGATTCATGACAAGTTTAGTTAGGCCAATGACACGTTCTGATAAGGTTTTCATACAATTTTAAATTGTTCTGTTGAAATGAGAATTTGCAGATTTCTTTGACAGCAAGTACTTCTGATATAGGATTCATGACAAGTTTAGTTAGGCCAATGACAAGTTAAGTTAAGCCAATGACAAGTTCCGATAAGGTTTTCATACAATTTTAAATTGTTCTGTTGAAATGAGAATTTGCAGATTTCTTTAACAATAAGCACTTCTGATATAGGATTCATGACAAATTCAGTTAGGCCAATGACAAGTTAAGTAAGGCCAATGACAAGTTCCAATAAGATTTTCATACAATTTTAAATTTTTCTGTTGAAATGAGAATTTAAATAGCTCTACAATGTTACTATATATATGTTGTGAAGATTGAGGTTCAATCCGGAGTATCCATATGGTGGGCACAAAGTTATAATGAGAATCAAAATGATATCAAGACTAATCTCTCTTCTTATTTCATCGCAATGTTGCTCCCAATCAATTTAAATTCAAATAGTAAATAGGTGGCGTATATTTTCCATTCTGCATAAATATCATTAGTTCATCTTATATAATAGTTCCTGCTTCTCAGCTATCCATAGAAAGTGGGCTTGTGAGGATGTATCCTAGTTCCTAATACCATTAGGTGGCGTACTGTTACTCACGATCGAGTGAATGAATTGTGCCTTTTAGTTACTGCCCACAGCTCATAATCAAAGTTACGAGAAGTATTGAATGGATATTGGGTTTTTGTTTTCAGTGAAAAGCAACTTCCAGGTTGAGAGAGAGAAAGATAGAGGAATCTAGGGAGAGAGATGGTGAATGCAACTAAAGTTTTAGAATCTGGGTTTGTGAGGATGGAGTAGATGAAAATGGAGATGGAAAAAGAAATTGAGAGATGGATATTGAGAATGATTCCTTCCTATTATGGAAGAGAAGAATGAAGAGGGAGAGGAAAAGAAGAACGAAAGGAAGAAGATCTGGAGAGGAAGAAAGAGAAAAAAAGAAGAAGGGCATTTTGGACATTCCATTAGTATTTCATATTTGCAATTTGGAACCGGGTCCTCTGAAGCTATTTTTCAAATTTAGGGTCCTAATTGCTATTTTATATATTGGAGAGTCTTTATTTGTAATTTTCCTTACTTTCTTTCCAGATGCAAATTTCAAAAAGATTATTTGCTGCGAAAGTTCATCGAACAATAAAATGTTCACCACGAGTTGCGATGCTTATATATTAAAATAAAATTAAAATTACTATACAAATAAACAGCAATGGGAATATTAAAATTAAAAACCGCGTGAATTATTAATTTCTTTGCTTTATGTTGAGAAAAGGACACGTGTCTCTCACATTCATCTTCTTGGTCTTGGTCTTTCGGCCAAGTCAACTGCCATTTCATAGAGCTACAACCCAACCTTAGCAAGTTATTGCTTGAAAAAATCATATAGACTAAACTTGTTCTCTAAGAGTGAGAGTTTCAGAAGAAGATCATGGTTCTACCTGTCTATTTGTCCGTCTTCTTCTTCTTCTTCTTGTTCGCTGACCATTCTGCTTCAGCAGATGAGTGCCCAGGTTTCTTTGACTGTGGTAATTTGGGCAAGCTCGGGTTCCCTTTGACCACTCCAGAACGTAAAGACTGTGGGATGTTGCCGATTCATGGCTGTGAAGACCCCAACGCTCAAAAAACTGTGCAACTGGGGAAAAAGATGTTTCAAGTGACGAGGATAGGAATCGGGTTGATTCCTCAAGTTGTCGTTAGAGACACATATTTGGAGAAGCGTTTGGCAAGTAATAATTGTGACGCCTTTTGTTCCAATATTACTTCTCCTCCCAACTCAGCTTTGGGTTCCATTCATATTTGGCCATTTATAACCATGTACAAATGCAATACTCCACTCAATCAGAGTCTTTCAAAGCAATTCTTGAACTATACAGGATGTGCTAAAGGTAAGAATGAGACCATCTTCTTCCGAACGCAGGATCCGGATGACCCTCTAACTCCTTTAGCAACATGTCCAAGTGTTCAGCTTCCAGTGAATATGCTATCTTTCTCTCCTGATCCTTTTACATTCATAGCTTCTGAATTCCATATTAGTTTTAAGCTTTCTCCTGGTTGTGTTCGATGTCTTTTTGACAATGGTTCATGCCGTCTCAACAGCACCAGAGAATTTTATTGTCTCAAAGGTATGCATTGCTTACTACAACAAATGAGAATTTCTCGGGTTCAGTTAATTTTCCTCGTTCGTTTTTAGATGGCCACATGTATGCCTGTCAACTCTGCTTGTGTCTTTCTGACAAAGGCTCCTGCCGTCTCAACGGCACCAGAGAATTTTATTGTCTCAAAGGCACGCATAATAATTAAGCAACATGTTAAATTTACTGTCTTTTTTCAGAAGCTCATATTAAGTGTGCCAACTAATCAAATGGACTCTGCGTTTTCTTCTGCGGTTTTAAATCTAATACTACCTCCAGTCCTTAATATAAAACGCTGTTTGACTTTTATTTTGGTTCTCAATATAAGACCCCAATCCACTTTGTCCCTCATATTTATTCAATTTTTTCCAAGATAGTCCTTCTAATAATTATAATTCTAGTCAATACACTTAATTAGCAAGGATATTTTAGGAAAGACAACACCTATTTAGGATAAATAACTAATTCAACTTACTTCCTTAATCTCTTCAAATTAGTCAACTGGCTCTTATAATTAGGACATGAGGTAGTATTATCAATTCTGATGCTAATTTGTTCATTTCGTATATGTTTCTCTTAATTGTGGCGTAGATGAAATTGAGACAGAAAGACGGGCTTGGAAGCTGGGATTGCTAATAGGTAATAGATTAATTATTTAGTTATTAATTATATTTTAAATATATATAGATATAATAATTTCTAAAATAAAACAAATTGCATTTTAGATTTCTTTTAAAAATTTTCATAATTGCAATAATTTGTGGAATAAAATAATTTGTTGTCTATATTTGTGTATAATTGTAATTTTAAAATACAACAAGTCATTGTTTATTTCTATATTATAACCGGTAAAAGTATCTTGTGAATTGCACCAGAAATTAAACAAAATAGAATTATTTATGCTTTTACAACATCTAGACAGCATTACATTTTGTAAAATTACCACTAAAAACATAAATTCACATATTGTTCCAACTACTATTATTTTTGAAAAATTATCAAATTAGTATTCATTTAATATTTAAATTTTATTAATTTTTATGATTGTTTGGTTTGAGAAAAACAGAGGAGAGATTAAAGATTTTAATGAAGTTCTTTTTCTATTGGACTAGACATTCAATATAGACGCTAAAACATCACTGGACAGATAATACTTAAGTTGATTGCTCCAAAAATAAGTGAAGTAAAATTTGATTATACTTAAGTTGACCCTGATGATGAATACAGATAGTAGGGGTATTTTTAAAATCATTATTGGTAAATAATAAAATTAGGTGGTTGCAGTGGTCCCGTGGATAAAACTCGAAGTTTCTGGTATACTGTGTCCTTTTTTTTTTTGTGGTTGTGGGAACTTCAAGGCGGAGGGCAAAGACCTGACCCTTATTTTCCTGTCCACTTTTCCAAATCTTGATCCTGGTCAGTGTCCGAGTCAATGAACATAGTAAGCACACAGATTCATTCTATAATTATTAACACAAAAGGTTAGCCGAAGATAATGTTTGTGTCATGAATATCCATATATTTTGGCTGCCAAAAAGTATGAAATCTTTATACAGGTACAAGAAATCTTATTTGATGACGAAAGAGCACAACAAATCTTATTTTAATTGACTGTATTCGTGGCTATTATAATCCTAGAATTAATTAAAGTTTCAAAGCTCTTCCTCTAATTATACAAAACTAATTCAGTTACTTGTAAATATTGTTTGTTATGTATATTTTTCCTTCTATGAATATAACTCTCATCAATGAAATGCAAGTTATTCCATTTCACCAAATTTTGTCACGTGGCATATATGTAGGTGTACCAAGCGCAACTGTTGTGATTATAATTGGTTTGGCTGTTATTCTATTGCGGAACAAACGAAGACACAAGTCTTTGGGCTCACAAAATCAGTCAAGAACCATTGAATCTGATAATACTCACTCAAATGTAATCCTAGAAGATAGACACATCTATTTTAAGTTCCCTGTCTTCTCCTATGAGGAACTCGAAGAAGCAACAAACAAATTTGATCAATCAAGAGAACTTGGAAGTGGAGGCTTTGGAACTGTTTACTATGGTAAGCCACCTTAAAAATATGTATTGAGAGTTTCTTCTATCAAAAATATTCATTCTTACATAGTTGGATTTTGAAGTTATATTATTGTGTTTGGGGAGATGCATTATTAACTTGTATTAGTGTAGATATTGATGAAAAGGTGTTGGTTTGATTTTAAACGACTAGGAAAACTTAAAGATGGACGAGAAGTTGCTGTTAAGCGGCTGTTTGAGCGCAACTCATGTGTACAGCAATTCATGAATGAAGTTAAGATTTTAACACGCTTGCGGCACAAAAACCTTGTGTCACTTTATGGCTGCACTTCCCGTACCAGTCGTGAACTGCTCCTAGTCTACGAATATATTCCAAATGGAACTCTTGGTTGTCATCTTCATGGAAATCTAGCAAAATCTGGTTCACTACCGTGGCCCTTAAGGATGAGGATTGCCATAGAGACAGCAAATGCATTGTCCTATCTCCATGCTTCTGGCATTATTCACCGCGATGTCAAATCCAACAACCTTCTTCTAGATCACCATTGTGTCAAGGTTGCTGACTTTGGTATTTCCAAATTGTTTCCCATGTTTGTGTCTCATGTCTCCACGGCTCCAGCAGGAAGCCCAGGTTATTTGGACCCCGAATATTACCAATTCTGTGAGCTTACTGAAAAGAGTGATGTTTATAGTTTCGGAGTCGTGCTGATTGAGCTCATATCTTCTAAGCCAGCTATCATTGTTACAAGGGCCAATGATAAGATTAATTTGGCAAATATGGCAGTTAAGAAGATTCAAAAAAGAGCGTTTACTGAGTTTGTAGATCCTTCCCTTTGTTTTGAGTCTGATGACAAGGTTAAGGAGATGATAATCTCAGTGGCAAACTTAGCTTTTCAGTGCCTACAGAGGGATGGAGAGCTAAGACCTTCGATGCATAAAGTAGTGGAGTTTCTGCAGAAAATTGAAAATGGGAAGGATGATTATCTAAAGCACCTAGAGTTTCGTGGTGTTGGGTTTTCAAACTGGGAGATACATACATCTCTTCCAACCTCACTACTTTTGGATGGAGCTGGATCACTGAACGACTCATTGCCACAACTCCCTCCCCGTACAGTATGATGATGATTGTAAAATTAAAGTAGTTTTATTGTACCTGAGAGGGTGTTTGGTAAGCTTCAAAAACACTTTTAAAAAGCACTTTTATATAAGTAGAAATTAAACTCCTTTTATATAGTTATTTCGAACTCTGTAATATAGTTCTTTCTATATTCTCAACTACAAACCTAATAAAATCTATTTTATATTTTAACCATTTTGACAATTATATTTGTTCGCTTTTATTTATTGGGTGTTTGTGATTACTTCCAAGAATCACTTTTACACTTTAATTGTCTTAATCCTCTATAAATTATATGAATGTGGGGCAGGATTTTTAAGATATTTATGTTATCATGGGTCATTAACTAAAAAATTATTTGGAAGAACCAATATTTAAGATTGATAACTGAAAAGATTTAAATGTTTTTGCATCGGTGGAAGATTAATTAACTTTGATTCCAATCCTTTTAAGATGAAAATTGATATTTTTAGCATTTTCATCACTATAGTAATTGGAAAATCATAAAGCCATTTGAATGAGACTCTTAACGATTACTTTAAAAAAAAAATCCAATGTGTATATTTGATGGTCAAGTATATTACCTAAAAATATTTGACAGCTGTTTACCCAAAAAAAAAAGTTATGAAATAGTTTTAAATTTCTGGTAATTAAAAAAAAATCTATTTAACGGTTGACTAATATAAACATCAAATAATTACCCATACTTATTTGATGGTCGACATATATAATAATCATTAAATAAGTCTATTTCATCTATTCGCTGGGTGGATACAATTTTGCTGTTGTAATACATGAAACCTACATTAATTATTATTTTATTAACAAGTATTTTAGTACAAGTGTATTTGAGAAGTTTCTTCTTCATGACAATGGGAAGGCCACATTTTTGGTGGTCAATTATGGAAATAGCGAAGAAAATGAACATAAGAACAGAGAAGGAGAAGGAGAAGAAGGCAGGGAAAGGAAGAAAGGTGCCAGAAATAACAAGAATATGAATCGAAAACGCGTTTTGAATATTCTAAAATCTGCAGAAACTCGTCAACATCAAATGCATATTTTTTTCTCCTAACTTGTCTTCTTTTTCTTCATTGGACTCCAATTATCCAGTCAAGTTCTTAACGTCTTCGACCACACATTAAGTTTAGATAATGCCCCTGGTGATTGCTTCATAAAAGAAGTAAAATCTAATTATACTTGTTGACCCTGATGATAAAAATCATTAGTGGCAGATACATAATAAAATTAGGTGGTTGCTGTGGATAAAACTCAGAGTTTCTGTCACTGGTCTTTTTGCCGTAGGGTAAACTTCAGTGGACGCAAAAGACCTTGGACTACTCAAAGTCATTCTAACATGACATTTGAGGAAGCTGAGTAAGAGCAGGTTAGCCTTATTTTCCGGGCCTCTTTTCCAAGTCTTGTTCTAAGTCAATGTCCAAGTCAACTGGCGTAGTAAGCACTCAGATTCATTCGACCATCGATAACACAAAGGATTAGCTAAGGAGATCGTTTGTGTCATGAGAATCCGCATACCTTGGTTGCCAAAAAGTTTGAAATTTAGTATGGTTACTCCTGATTTTCTACTTCCTTTGCTTTGTCTGTGTTGTTTTCTGCTTCCTCTCTCAGTTGCCTGTCCACTAGGGCCTTTTCCCTGCGGGAGTCTTGGGCATATTTACTTCCCCTTCTTTATTCCACTTGTAGAGAAGCGGTCATGAGTGTAGTGGGCGACAAAGAAGCGAGTGCTAGAGATGGTGGAAGGGTGTCAGAGATAGCGATCGGGGAGGGGGTGGGGAAGGGGAGGAGGAAGCGGGGATGGTGAATTCACCAATGGACTTCGTTTTTGGGTCTAGGAGTGGAGGTGTGAAGGAATCAAAGGGTGTGAAGGAGACACCACAACTGGTTATCAATCGAAGGGTGCTCCTACTCTCATACAAAGAGAAACTTCTCTCTTTAGGGTGTGGTGGTTTCTTGGTAAAGCATGATGAAAATGAAGATATGGTGAATGGATGGAGGTCTTTTTTCATCAAGAAGAACCAACATACAGAGGATGGGCAAGTGGTTGATACGGATTTGGTCGATGGAGTGGAAACAAAAGGTACAGCTATTAAACCAAGATATTTCGTATTGAAGGTGACTGTGGAGCAATACATAGTGTGGTGCCAACCCTAGATGAACTCACTGATCATCAAATCTTAGGGGCACATATCCTGAAGAATGTTCTCATAGGTAGAGCTAGAAGGATGTGGAAACCAAAGGATCCTGTAAAGGTTACTCCTCTAAGTAATTATTATTTTGTTGTGTCTTTCACTAGTAGAGAGGATCAGGGCTATCAAAAAGGGCTATGGATGATTGATGATCACTATTTGTTGGTTCAGCAATAGCGGCCAACTTTAACCCTAAGAAGGCAGACACTCAACGAAAGATAGTTGCTTGGGTGCGTATTCCGAACCTTCTACTAGATTTTTATAATGTTGAATTATTGGGTATATTAGGGATATGATTGGCAAAACTATCAAAGTGGATTGTTCAACCTCGACATATGATAAGGGAGAATTTGCGCACATTTGTGTTGAAATTAGCCTACAACAACCTTTACTGTTGGCGTTCGCAGCTTTGGGGAGGATGGGTAGTTAGTATATGAAGGGTTACACCAAGTGTGCTTTTAGTGTGGGAAATACAGCCATGAATAGTATGCTTGTCCTAAAATTGTGAAGCGTAACAATACGATGGCCACGCTAGAACATGTTGAGAGTCAGAGTGCAGGCTAAAAGGGGAAAAACAGGGATAATCATGAGGAGTCGCCAGTGGTGAAATTGATGATGGAGGTACCAGATATCCACTTGGGCCCGTAGATGTTGATTCACTAAGACTTCAGTAGGAGTTCAACTCCCCCGAATATGCAGGGATCTCATGGAAAGAATCATGGGATGGATTTGAAGGGAGTAAATAATGGAGTTAATGATGTAACAACGAAACTACTACACTTATAAATTAATCAATATCAAAAAGTTAACCATGATAGAAAAGAAACTTTGTAAAAATATTTAGAAATACTATCATGGTTATATAAACATCCTAAATCATATGAGATTAACCATGATAGAAAAAGAGTTAAACCAATCCATAAATATGTCTATCACAGTTAAAAGAACTTTTCTAAATTAACTGCGTGCAAAAAGATATTCATAATGGATAGGGCTTTGGGTATTATGAATCTAGAATATTATTTTCAACCATAAGCCCATAACACGATTTTACTAAATAGTATCTTTCATAACTTTCAACACAATCAAAAGTCATTTGATGTCAAGGATCATTATGGATTCACCACTCATATCAAACAAAAGAAATCACATGCAAATGCCTAAAGGCCTCCAGCCTTCTACCAGCATACAGTCCAGTAACAGTTCTCAAAAGTACACTGTCAAAATAATCAATCTCAAACATATCAGAGTATGTGGAATGGGCCCTATCATGCCAATATACATCTATCCAACACAATCAAAAGAGTGGAAGCGCTACAATTTTGCAATAGCAGCTCAAGCTTCCGGAGCCTTCCCTGACTGACCCGAACGGGAACTATCACCTGGAAAAGTGTTAAATCAACGGGGTAAGACAAAAGTCTCAGTAACCAACAATCCTACTTATCAAGCATACAAGTAAGTGCTCGTGACGTGTCAAGTGAGACAATTGCAAATTCATAGTATTCCAACAAATTTCATATTGTCAAAGCATATAAAAAGTACAATCAATAATCTTTTCACCTCCCTTATATCCACCCACCTTATATCCTTTGACTAAACCCATGGGCTAAATCCTCATCCATGTGACTGGAATTAGACAAGCTCACCGATCAAGTGATATGGACCGGCCAAAATCCACAGAGCACAAGACCGGACCATGGGTTCCCCCTCTAGTCTACTAGTAGGGTGTCAATGCCCTATAATGAATAATGGGCCAAAGGACCAATCAGTGTACACCTGATGGCCCTACCACCTTATATCCTCAAATGTACATAATTCACCCCCTTATATCCTCTTTGTTATAGTACCCATCATCAACATCCGCCACCCCTCATATATCAACACTCAAAATATTGCATTCATAAAAAAAATCATCATGTAAAAATCAATTGGGATTTTCCATTTTTCAATTAACTCATAATACTTGATATCATCATAATAGTAAACATATATCTTTTGCAACAAAAGTCTCACAAGACAATTTCAATAACAACATACTTTCATAGCTCACATCATAATTCAATAATATTTCATAAATTCCTTATAATTCAAAATTAATCACAAACAACCTACGAGCATGAATAATAAGTGGAAAGTGGTTACCTCTTGTCTAGAACAAGTATTACCACAAGGTTAACCCCGTGCTCATACCAATAGCCCAATAATTTAATCTACACAACCAATACATTTACATATCAATACACAAGCTATTTAATTAATTACTTAAACTAAAACATATATATATAAGTTAAAGTTTTTAATTCTATGCTAAACCCAAACCTCTCATAACCCATAATTAAGTCTTTTAGCACAAAATTTATATATCCTCACAATCCAAAATTTTCATTTAAACCTTTCAAAGTATTTACTTTAATACAGATTTTTCTCAAATTTTTAAATCTGAAATTATCATATTTAAAATTCAAAAATCCTATTTTAACTTTAAATCTCAAAAACCAACCATTAGAAATTCAATATACATCAAATGCATCTAAGTAAATAATTTAATCAACAGTTTCATGGTATAAATATCATATTTTTCATAAATAAATATCTGTTTAACTAAAATAATTCATTTAAAAATATTAGGTCAGTCAATAAATAAAACTAAACTGATAGAAATGATCTACTAAAATAGCTCTACAATACTATGCTTACCTATCATCAAAACTCAACACTTGCTTCAAACCCTAAACCCAAAAATTATCTCTAAACAGTATAAAATTACTATCATTAGATAGATTTAGATGAGTGGAAAAACTTTCATGAAGAGAATTTAATGAAAAAAGTCATTTGGCTTACCAAAATGATCTGCAAAGTTGAAACCCTACTAGAAAAATGAGAGAAGGCGCCGGAGAAGGTGAAAAAGAAAGACGTCGAAATGTTTCTCTCTGTGGCCCCCCACAACAGTTAAAATAATATTTTGGCATAAATTCCAGTTAAAGACCCCATATTAAAATGGGACAAAATTATGGTTTGGTACCCCGTTTTTTCCCATTTTCTTTTTTTTAATCCGTTTTATTATTATTATTATTCAGTAATTTCCATATACATATTTTATAAATCTTATTTTTAATAATTCTCTTTTCTTAAATAAATAGAGAATAAAACTCATTTATCAAGCATTAAACTCCTTCTAAACTTAACTAAACACTAGGAATAATTAAAAAAAAAAAAAAGGGATGTCACAAATGAAATGGATAAGAAGGGATTTGGGAATGGAAGGACCCACAAGAATCAATCTTGAGTCAACGGCAAGGATGAAAGGAAGAAGGTCTAAAGGCCAGTTGGTGTTTATAAGGATAAAAGTGAAAAATTATCGGGGTCTGCAATCAAAAGTCATGATTTTAGAAAGGAATTAAATAATAATTCCATCACGTGGATGATGGTGCTGGGATCTAAAAGTAAAATTGTCCAAAAAATGAAAGTCAAGGGCATGAAGAACATTGCTGACAAGCCCAAATACAAACTCAAAGCGGGTATTAATCTCAATGAAAGCTCAATAGAGGTCTAGAACCCTTTTATCTCATTGCAAGATGGGCCATCTGCCATAGAGGCCCAAAACATGATAGTTTGCAAGAAGCAATACACTAATGGGTCAGATGAGAATTTATAGAACACAAATCAATCTAAGCAAACCTAAGTGGCGTCGTCAACTAGTGTAGGGATGTTGTGCCACCAAAGACGTTGATACAGGTTAGTGCTATGGGTAGCAGGATGGATATTGTCTAGGGGAGGGACATTGAAGCTTCACCAACTCAACCAATTGTTTCCCCATGAATTACATGATATGGAATTGATATGGAATTCGAGGGGTACAAGCACGAAGTCATTTTCTAGCCTGATACAAGAATTGAAAAAACATTTTTGCTTAGACTTTCTAGCATTAATCGAGACTCGATCAGATAAATAGAAAAAGAAAAAAAGGATAGGCAGACTTGGGTTCCAAGACGACACTTTCTGTAACATCCTGAGTTTTATCGGGTTTTAATAGCCTCTTTTGGTTGATTTTAAGGATAGATTAGCGATTTAATCTTGATCTTGGTATTTGGGTTGGATTTGAGGTATGTTGGAGGAATAGGTGAACGTACCCCTCTCAAGGTATGTTCGCCGCGGCAAACCGGGAGTTTCAGAGGGGAGTGTCTTCTTGGGAAGGTTTGGCTGCGGCGAAGTCTTGGGGACGCCGCGGCGAAGTTGTTCAGGTGAGCGAGAGTTTCCTTTCGGGAAGCTTTCGCTGCGGCGAAGATTGGAGTTCACCGCGACGAAGTCAGGTTTTCAGGCGAGTAATCCCTCTCGGGATTAGTTCGCCGCGGCGAAGATATGGGTTCGCTGCTACGAAAGGTCGCGAATCTATATAGATGCTGAAGGGTTCAGTTGTGCGAAAATTAGAAAATCTGAAGGAGGAGAGAGGAGCTTTGCTAGGGTTTCGAATTTCTGGCTTGGGAAAGACATTTCTAAGGATCCATTACCGCAAGTAAGTGATTTTAACCTCTAATCTACTTTCTTTCTTGGAATTTCTGAGGATTTTTTTGGTGGAACCCTAGGATTTTCTAGGTTGTGATGGAATTGAGGTTTTTGACCGATTGTTTTGAGTTTAATTGATTGTTTTGGGTTAGTCTAAGTATTTAATCAGTGTAGTTTTCTTGGATTTAAAGAATCTTGAATTTTTGGAGTTAGGGTTTATGGAAATAGGTGATTTAGGATTGAGGATGACAATGTAGAGGTTGATTCTGAGTTTTGTGATTTGGGTTATGTTAAGGAGGGTTAAATTGGATGTTTAATCGGTTTAGATTTGTTGTTGGAACCTTAATTGCTCAAATGGGATGTTTGGGTGTAGAATTCCTATAGTGGGTCCTTGAGGTTATGAATTTTAATTGATGTTTGGAAAGGAGTTAAGGTTTTAATGGATTGGTATGACCATGGAGTGTTGCCTTGATAGTTATACCCTTTGAGTTGGGTAGAGTTTTGATGGGAGATAGGAATTTTGTGTCCCCAAGTGTTGTTTTGGCCACATTATTAGTTTGAAAGCTAATATATGGTGGTTGTGTGTTTGTGTGCTTGTGTAGACCGGTTGTGAGTCTCGTTGGTGCGCGGGGCCACATTGTTGGTTTGTTATTCCTTGCTCAGGCGAGAGGTAACCACTTTCTAATCCTTAGTACTTGCTTCTGTGGTATTGTGAGTAGATTTATGTTTTGTGCTCTGAGTAACAATTATATTCAAATTGTATGTTGTATATGTAAAAAGGAAAACTGTCTTGTGGGGTTTTGATTGATGATGAACGAATCTTGAAATTGTGAAGGATATGCCACTGAATGAAGTTACTTATGAAATGTTCATTTACTATTTGATTATGGTTTGAGCATGATGCATGAATTGGGAATTGGTGTGAGTTTTTGATAGTTACTACCACGTGGTAAGACCTCCATTAATGCATGATGGCTGGCTCAGTACGTCCCCCATAGTGAGAGATAGGCCTTTTGCTCCTTACATCCCCCAGAATGAGGGATAAGCCTTTTATGGCTCCTTACATCCCCCATAGTGAGGGATAGGCCGGGTTCGGCTCTTGAAAATCCCCCAAAATGAGGGATATGGTTGATGGGAATTGCATCATCGCACTTGCATAACTTTTTGTGGCTATCTTGTTATCTTATTACTCATGAATTGGCCCATTTGACACCTCACAAGCACCTATTTAGTAGTACCTAGAATTGGAAAGGTTGGTTACTGGGACTTTGTCTCACCCCGTGGTTTACAATGTTTTCAGGTGAAGGTTCCGGGCGTGGGCCATCGGGAAGAGACGCAGAGGCTTGAGCTTGGTTAGCTTTAGGCCTCTAGCATTTGTATATGTATGGCTAGTATATATTGCCACATTTAGGACTGCTTTTTGAAATATTTGATTACCCGGCCTTGTTGTAAACTGGAGAGAATGTATCTCTTTATTTTGGTTGGCCGAAGGCCATTGCTAGTGTCTTATGAAACTCTGGATTATTTTGTTGGGAATCATTTAGATGGGCTGATGTGATGTCTGATGTTACCTGGGCCGGAGGCTTGAAGGCCCAATGAATATAAATGAATGATTTCAGTTGCATGCAACAGACTTTGAGTGGAACTGAGTTTAAATGTCAATTCAAAATTATGCAAATTTCTTTCTACTATGGTAGTTCATTTAACAGATTTCCTTTTCTACCATAGTAGTGATTTTGTGATGAGTTATAATGTTTTGAGGTTAAGGGTCTTACACTTTCATTGAAGCTGAAGGCTATAGTGGTGGTATTTGGTGCTTATGGTATTCTGGTGTCTCTAAGATAGAAGTATTGGAAAAGCATAGACAGTATTTACACCTATCTATTGAGAATTCCCATTGTGATCACTGGTTAATGACTGTCATATATGCTAATCTACATTCGGTGTTAAGACGCGCTTTATGGTACGAGCTACATCTAAAGCATAACATTCATGGACCTTGGATTTTAGGGGGAGATTTTAACACCACTCTATTTAATTCCTACATATGAACTACGGCCACTGATGGTGTTTCCATTGACAAGGACTTCTATAGTTGGTATGAGGAGTCGGGGGTATCGGATATTAATTGCGTAGGTCCTTTTTTCACTTGGAAATGAGGTAGTACAGAAGCTTGACTAGATCAAGCCTTAGCGAATGACAAGTGGTGTAGCCTTTTCCCAAATGCATGTGTTTCTCATTTACCTTTTTACAAGTCAGATCATCATCCTCTCTTATTGCAACTTGATTTCACCACCAAGCATCCTAATAGGCCATTCTGCTTTATTGCGTCTTGGGTGCTGCACATGACTTCCAACACTTTGTTCAGGATAACTGGAACACCGATGTTGAGTGGAAACATAATATTACTCAATTTTCAGAAGCTTGCGGCATGCGAAACAAGCAAGTGTTCGGCCATATAGAGGGTTGCAAGAAGAAATTATTGCATCACATGGACGGAGTAAATAAAGCTCTGGGGAGAGGAAGGAATATCGAATACTATGAAGATCTCCAAGCTCAATTATGGAAATAACTAAAGGAGGTTATCGTGCAAGAGTCTCTTCTATGGGCACAGAAAGCTCATATGGATTGGTCTGTGTATGGTGATAGAAACACAAATCTTTTTCACTCACGGACAAATGGCTGTCACAAAGCTAATAGGGTGGATGCCATCTGGCTAGAAGGGGGCGACTGGTGCTACGATATAGATATAATCAAACGAGAGGCTACTAGTTTCTTTGCGTCACTGCGCATAGAGGAAGTACACACTCGTGCCGACCTTATAACAGAGATTTCTTATCCCTTGACTGATGAGGCAAACTTACGAACTTGTAGCTAAAATGTTGATGTGATTGAAATTAAAGAAGCACTCTTCAGCATAGGCCCTCTTAAATCTCCCGTTTGATTGGTTTCAATGCTCTTTTTTACCAATCTCAATAGGGTATTATTGGAAATTCTCTGGTTAATTATGTGAAACACATTTTTGCCACCCGAAGGAAGTGAAAGAAGAAAATAGAATGTTGATTGTTTTAATCCCTAAAAAGTATCCTCCTTAATCATTTAAAGACTTGCGGCCTATAAGTCTTTGTAATGTGGCCTATAAAGTTGTGACAAAGCTTCTGGCTAATAGAATGAAGATAGTTTTGCCTCAAATTATCTTGCCAAACCAATGTGGCTTTGTTCTCAACCGACATGGCTCTAATAATATCATCGTAGCGCAAGAAGGTATTCACTCTGTGCATCTTAAGTGGCAAAAAGGGTTACATGGCCATTAAAATTGATCTCAAGAAGCCCTATGATAGAGTTAATTGGTGTTTCCTGC